CCCTTCCTGCCCCATCCCCATCAGGCCATGAGGAGCGAGCCCAGTATCCTGGGCAACGCCGATGCAGACGAGGACGTGCCCGCTGCTGAGGCGTGCCCGGGGCAACAATTAGATCCGCGAAGCATCGCGCAACCAGCCTCTCGCTTGACTTCCTTATGGAAGCATCTGGCTGAGCGGCTTCTTTTGGCTCACCAGCAAGTCTACCGCTTTCTCAGCGGCGGCGCAAGGCGCCACGCACTCATTCTGTCTCCCACCACGGTGTACCAGCATAATGCGGTACCCCAGTGGCAAGCCACATGGCAGCTCGAGAGCGGGCCGCCCGCATGGCCACACGCGCGCTCCTTCGTGGGCCCTCTGCTTCACTTAGATTTGCCCACGGCCGTTAATCGCACACTCGAGCGCTGGCATGGCCGATGGCGCGAGGCCAACTCCCCTAACCTACTCCACATCTACCCCCAATGTGCTGCGGGGGACGGTCCCTACGATGCCCGTTTCTCACCCGCCATAGGGCTAGTTACAGTTTACGTGCCGAACCAACTTTTTTTCTGGTCCTACTTCAATCGGGGGCCTGGGAGCAGGCCTCCCTCAGCCCTCACCGGCTTTTGCAGGATGCAGCGGCTGGCAGCCCCATCCTTATAGACTTCCAGGCCATGATCATGGTTCGACCTTCTGCCTCCCGCTGTCCCACCTCGCTCGAATCCTCCGCCTCCCCGAACCCTAATCCCTCAGGCCATGCCGACCCCAGAGGCGCAGCACCTGCCACAGTTCGAGCATGGCGACTTCCGCTGCGCCCCCGCTGAAGCAGTGCCACCACCGCCTACAGCAGTGCAGTGGCTGGTAGTAATAACGACAGGCCACATTTCGCTTCGGTCCCCACTGCCCATCAATGTAGGGCTCCTAATGGAGCAATTCCATGGGCAGGAGACCAGGCTGCCATCCTCTGTGGAAAGGCCGCGCTTTTTTCACCCCCCCATTCTTCAGGAGATGGACGCACGGCCCATCCTATTTGGCACGGGCATACCCTACCGCACCGGCCTTTCGTTGCGGGTCAACATGCGTAGTGGTAACATCCTCATCCCTATAGACTCCGCACCAGGCCAGGCGTGCATCAGTCGGCCCGTCAGGAGAGTCCTCCTCGCACAGATGCTAGCACAGGCCAGCTAGGTTTCACTCACATTTGGCCGCCGTTGGCTTATGGGTTATTTCTTTTTGTTTCCTTGGCACTCCCCCCCTTCTCTCAGCGCGCCCCGCGCCGCCATGGTGCCCATGCCTCCCGCGGCGGAGGCGGAGGCGGGCGCGGCCGAGGCCAGCAGGGCGTCGCCTGACACGCGGGAGCTCTTCGGCCTCTCAGGGGACACATACGCCGGTTCGGCTTGGCAGGGCTCCCAATACACGGCCGCCACGCGCGAGTTCAAAAAGTGGTGGCCCTCCACATGCCCGGGCGAGTGGAAGATGCCCAACGGCATGCTATACCCGTTCGTCTGGAAGCTCAAGTCGCTGGACGTCATCGACGGCCAGGTCGTCGAAACCTGGGACTGGGAGTGGATCGAGACCCCAGGCCTGGCGACCATCTCTGAGGTGGAGGCCATGCTGAGGAACCACTACAACCAGCAGCAGGCTGCCGCGCAAGAGGCCCAGGCGCGTGCGGCGGCGACAGCGGCAGGTCTCTCGGCGCTCTCGGCTGCCGCCCGCTCTCTCAACCCGTCGCCCTTCAGTGCCTGAGCGAGCCACGCTAATGACGCATCAGTCAGCGCCCTTCTAGGTCGTCCTAAGCGACCTCGGCGCAACTAGCAGCGTGCATACTTAGGTGGTGGGCTCGCCTAATACTTTCCTTTCCACATCCTTTCTGCGTCTTCTCTCCACCTCGGCAGCCCACCACCTAAACAGCTGGAGCCATGCCGCTCCAACTCAAGGTCGGTCGAGCCGTCCTGCATAGCTGAGTTGTAGACCACGCGAGTCTAACAGCATCCAGCCCATCCCGTCACTGTGCGGCTCTGCAACCTCGGGCAGCCCCGCTAACAGTGAGGCGGCTAAGCGCCGCTCACATATTTCAATTCGCAGACTCGCCACGGCTGAGTCCTCGCGCATAGGTGGTGGGTTAGCACACTGCTCAGTTCCTGGTTTGCCTGCAGCCCACCACCTATTCAGCCCGAGCCTTCTTCGCTCGAGCCAAACTATAACAAAGGAGACACCGCGTCTCCAATGTAAGGCCGGCCAAGCCGGCATACATTCCGCTGCAGTGAGTCCTTCGGGTGCACACACACTGCAACTCTTGCGGCATCAGTCGACACCATCTCAGGCCCAAATGGGATGGGCGCCCATGGCGCAACCGTCAATGCGCCACACAGGGGCGGAGCCGCCTGACACCTACCTCGGCAGCCCACCTAGCGCTCTTTTCTCCACCGGCCTCTCTTTTAGAGGGCCCTGTCCAGGAGTAGTCGCCATTCATGGGCGCGACTTCTCACTTTGCCGCGCCAGTGCGGCCAGCGCAGCACATTTTAGCAGCCTCGCTAAACAGCGATCGGCTAAGCTCACACAGCAATTCGCAGACTCGCCACGGCTGAGTCTCTAGGTGGTGGGCTGGCCTAATACTCTTGGTTCGCCGTGGCAGCTCACTACCTAGACAGTCCTAGCCACAAGTGCCTCATGAGAGGACCGTGGCCTCTGCCCCGGCGCATCTCTTTGGCCCCCATCCAGGTGTAGCAGGGTCCCCTTGGTCCCTGTGTGCCTGTGAGGGGCCACACGGAGGTGGGTCCCTGTTGTCTGGTCTCGGCTAGCGCCCAGGCACACCCACCCCCCCGCCACGGTAGGCCACGCGAGTCTAGCAGCATCCAGCCTATCCCGTCAATGTGCGGCTCTGCAACCTTGGGCAGCCCCGCTAACAGTGAGGCGGCTAAGCGCCGCTCACATATCTCAATTCGCAGATTCGCCACGGCTGAGTCCTCACGCATAGGTGGCGGGTCAGCACACTGCTCAGATCCCGGTTTGCATGCAGCCCACCACCTATACAGCCCAAGTCATCACACGAGCCTAAACAAAGGAGACACCGCGTCTCCAATTTAAGGCCGGCCAAGCCGACATGCATTCCGCTGCAGTGAGTCCTACAGGTGCACACTCTCACTGCAACTCTTGCGGCATCTGTCGTCACCATCTCAGGCCTACGTGGGATGGGCGCCCATGGTGCAACCGCCAATGCGCCACACAGGGGCGGAGCCGCCTAATACCTACCTCGGCAGCCCAACTAGCGCTCTTTTCTCCACCGGCCCCTCTTTAGAGGGCCCTCCATGAGTAGTCGCCATTCATGGGCGCGACTTCTCACTTTGCCGCACTAGTGCGGACAGCACGGCACATTTTTGCAGCCTCGCTAAACAGCGATCGGCTAAGCACACACAGCAATTCGCAGACTCGCCACGGCTGAGTCTCTAGGTGGTGGGCTGGCCTAATACTCTTGGTTCGCCGTGGCAGCTCACCACCTAGACAGTCCTAGCCACAAGCGCCTCATGAGAGGACCGTGGCACCTTGCCCCGGCGCATCTCTTTGGCCCCCGTCCAGGTATAGCAGGGTCCCCTTGGTCCCTGTGAGGGGCCACACGGAGGTGGGTCCCTGTTGTCTGGTCTCGGCTAGCGCCCAGGCACACCCACCTCCCCGCCGCGGTCGGCCCGTACAGGCCTTTCAGCTGCAGCGTACGCCCTGCAACACGGCAGTGCCACTCTGGCCCTTTTTCCTCCCCCGCCTCGTATGTCTTCCCCCGCTCTTCCTCCAGTCCAGATCTCCTCCCATGGAGGTTTGGACAGCCGCAACGCGGCCTGGCCATTTTGGCCCTCCGTCCAGCTCTTCCCTCTCAATAGCCGTCCGAAATTCGGAAGGCACTCCCAGGCAGGTCTTTTCTTTTTCCTGCCTCGCACTGCTCTCTGCATCGAGGGCTGCCCTACTATGGGCAACGAAGCAGGGTGCCGCTGATGTCTCTCTTCGCACGGCGCTGCAATCTCCTCCTCTCTCGGTATGATTCCTCTCCTCCCCTCCCTCAGCGCCAATACCTCTCTCCTGACAGTTTTCGGGACGAGAGCGGAAGCAGCTCAGCGTCCATGCTCTCGGGTTTCTCGTGTGCAGCCTGTGCCAGTCCTGTTGGCCGCTGCGCTCAAGCTAACTTGCAACGAGCTAAGTATAGTCAAAAAGCCTCCCTCCTCCCCCCTCCCTCCTCCCGACCTAGCGAGCCTTCTTTTTATCCGGCGCTTCGGCATTGGGCAGAAAGGGGGGGGGAGAGGGGGGGGTCTGGCTCCAGACCTCTGCTCAGTGCGACGGATTGCAAGAGTGCCCCCCATGGGGGAGACTTCCACCTGCTCGAAACAGGCGCCAAGAAACAGCCAAGAGCTACTCGGGGGGGGAGAGGGGGTGCGAGGGCCCGCGCCGATCGGCAAAACAATGAACAAAAAATGATCACCTAAACGTTGTTGTTCGTTTTGTTTTCGTTATGTTCGCTTGTACCTCCCTCCCAAAACGAAAAACAAAGCACAGCCGAAGTCCAACAAAACAGCGTTCAGGTCCAGCCCTGAGGGAGGACGGGAAGACGAGAGGAGAGGAGGGGGCAGTTGATGGAGGGATTGGTGGGGGAGCTGGGGGGGGGGAGCAGAGGAGGGGGAGCAGGAGAGATATCGATGCTCGATATTCGAGGAGAGAAGGTCTCGGGACGCTTCTGGGCCACTGGGGGGGTGCTCCAAGGACGTCTGGAGACCTCCGGGGAGGGAGGGAAGAAGAGGGAACTGGAGGGGGAGCGGGCAAAGAGTGATGGAACGGGGGGAGTCGTGGGCGGAAGACATACGCGTATCCACGACCTCGCGGGCAAGGCCCCTGGGCCGCGACCCCGTAGATACGGGGCGCTTTTGCGCGGGACATGGCACACACCAATTCATATGCGCATCCATTCGACCGCACATCCACAGGGCCGCGTCCCGGAATCCACACCGCGAGGGCGTGGATGTGAATAACCATGTCCGCAGGTCGTGAAGAAGAGAAGGGAAGGGAGGAGGTGGGCGTGGGAGAGACGAGACGCGGAAAGGCATGCACGATCAACGGTGATTGCGAAAACTGCGGCGCCAAACAAACAGGCAGCCGCGACATCGAGTTCTGTGATACAGCAGAGCCAATACTCCAACTGGCGATCTGCGACGCAAAACGGCAAAACGCTGACAGCATGCAAGGACCATTCGGTCGTGAAATGATGTCGGCCCTCGACTTGAATCGGATCCAAAATCACATCGTATTCATGATTCATGCGTCTCAGAGCTACTGGTTGGGCGCTCTGCCTCCTCCAAGCACTGGAAATACCTGCCCGTACAGATCTTCGGGGGCATTCATGGAGCAACGGTGGATGCAGAAGATCGGGCAGAGGGAGGCCGCATGGGCAGACCGAAAGTTTACACTCGGGTTTATTTCCTGCTGTGTGCGCGGGGCGATGGCAACACTTTTGACGAGTCCCCGTCGCTGCCTCGCGCACTGCTGGCACGTGTGCCAAAGTCGGAGCGCGGGGGCCCTGCTCGCGAGGATCCATTTCGGGTCGCACGCGCGCCAGCTGAATTGGAGTGAGCAAGAGGTCGCTGTGTCCTCCTTCTCCTCCTCCTTTTCCTTTTCCTCCTCCTCCTCCTCCACCTGTGCCTCTTCCACTGCCTCTTCCTTTCCTCATCCTCTCCCCCTTCCTCCTCCTCCCTTCTTTCTCCTCCGCCGTCCCCTTCCTCGTCCTCTTCTCCCTTTTCTCCATCGGCCCGGAAGGGAGCCTCGATCCCGCGGAACAGGGGCCGCGGCCAGAAGGGTGACCAAGATGGCCCCGTGCAGCTGCCCGCGGGTGCGCCCCCCCAGACGGGGGGGGCTCGCAGAGGCCCCGCCCCGTGGGAGCCGGGTCTGGGCCGTACAGAGATTTCTGCGCGGGGGTAATATTTGTATTTGTACTCGGTCGGGCAATTCCACCGACAGGCGAATGTTTGACGTTTTTTTTTTGAAAACAAATAAAAGGTGTTTTTTATACAAAAAAGTAGATCAACACTGTCAAAAATAATCCAAACTTGGCGCTGGAAAGGGCGGGGGTCGAAACTCCCCCCCCCTTCCCCCCTTTGCGCCGGACGGAGAGCCAGGGAGGGGGCCTCTCCCGCTGCTCTTTTCTGCGCCGGCGAAGGTGGGTAGGGAGTATGGAGTAGGGAATAGTGAGTAGTGAACAGTGAGTAGTGAGTAGAGAGTAGCGAGTAGTGTGTAGTGAGTGGGGATTAGTGGGTAGTGAGTAGTGGTGAGTGGTGAGTGGTGAGTGGTGAGTGGTGAGTGGTGAGCTCTGAGTAGGTATAGGGAGTAGTGAATTGTAGGTAGCGAATAATAATAGATGAGTAGCAACTGATGGGTGATGAGTAGTGAGTACTGGGTAGGAAGTAGTGGGTAGTGAGAAGTGCGCAGTGAGTAGTGGGTAGTCCGTAGTGAGTAGTAATGAGTAGAGAAAGGCAAGTAGTGAGTAGGGAGTAGAGAATAGTGAACAGTGAGTAGTGAGTATTGATTAGTGAAGGTGAATAGTGCGAAGTGAGTAGTGAGTCGTGGGTAGTGAGCAGTGAGTAGCCAGTAGGGAGTCGCGAGTAGAGCATAATGAGAAACGAGCAGTGGGTAGTGAGTAGTGAGTAGGCACTGGTGAGTAGCGAGTAGCGAGTAGCGAGTAGTGATTCGTGCGTAGCTATTAGCGAGGAGGGAGAGGTGAGTTGTGTGCCATGAGATGTGAGAAGTGGGTAGCGAATATTGGGTTGTGTGAATACTGAGTAGTGAGTAGTGAATGGCGAGTAGTGCATAGTGAGTGGTGAGTAGGTGACTAGTGAGTGGGGAGCTTTGAGTTGTGAGTCGTGGTTCGTGGGTGGTGAATAGGGAACATTGAGTAGCCAGTAGCGAGTAGTGAGTAGTGTGTAGTGCGCAGGGAGCAGCGGGCGGTGAGTAGTGCGTATTGAGTAGCGAGTACCGAGTAGGGAGTAGCGAGTAATGAGTAGTGTGCAGGGAGTAGCGGGTAGAGAGTAGTGAGTAGTGAGTACTTAATAGTAAATAATTCGTAGCGGAAACGTTTTAGTGATTAGTGGATAGTGAGTAATGGGCAGGGAATAGTGCGTAGTGAGTAATGAGCAGTGAGTATACAATAGTGAGTAGTGAGTAGGGAGTAGTGGGTAGGAAGCAGTGAATAGTGAGTAGTGGTCAGCGGGTAGAGAGTAGTGAGTATCGGGTAATGTTTGGGGCTAGGGTAAGAGGTTGGGTTTAGGGTCTGGGTTTACGGTGAGGATTCGGGTTAGGGGTGTGGGGGGGGGCGGGTTCTGGAGACAGGGGGCGGCGTGGCGAAAAGGGAACATGGGGGGGTCGAATATCTAAATGGGGGAGGGGTCGGACCCCCCCCCCTCCCTTTTTGAAAAGGAGGGGGCGGGGGGTTCCCGGACGACGGACCGGGAAAAGGGGAGGGGGGAGGTTCCCCGACGACGGACCGGGAAAGGGGGGGGGCTTCCCGACGACGGACTAGGGAAAGGGCGGGGAGGGTCCCACCCCCCCCCCCTTGGGGGAGATCCAGCGGCGCGCCACCCAAACATCGTTCCCATATATTTTGTTTAAACTATTTTTGAATTTTCCTTCTGTAGCGGGACAGGCCCGACTGAAAATGATACTTGGTTGGTGGTTCCAGAAGTCCAAGACGACCCAAGACGCTCCCAAGACGGTCCAAGAGGAACCCCAAGAAGGCCACCAGACTGCCAAAGAGGGCCGCAAGTCGGCCCAGACAGAGGCGGCCCCCAAGACGGTCCACGAAGGCTTTAGTCGGGCCACGAGAGCCTTAAAACGGCCCAAGAAGCCCTCAAGTCGCCCATAGAAGCCACAACAAGAGACCCCTCACAGGCCCCAAAGAGTAGAAATGAGGTCGACTGTCAGACCCACGCGAATTAAACCGCGCGCTGAATTGCAGTGGGTCTTTTACTCAACCTCCTTCACGCTGCGCTGCTGCGGTGGCACGGTGGCGGGGCTTGCCGCAGGCAATTGGATACTTTCGAGCCCGGGGAAGACCTATCACTCCAATGCGCAAACGAGGGTTACCGTTGTGCCTGCACCGTTGTGTCTTGACCTCCTGAGCTCTGCTGCAAATGTTACAACACTTCGCCAGCACAACGGGCCAGAAGCGTGCGAAAATCTCGGGTGGCCAAAATATCTTTAGGGATCTCCTGACCTGGGCCCATTCAAACCCGGGTCAGTCAGGCTCTGCAGGATCAGGCAAAATCCAGCAGAACCCTGCAGGACCCTGCACCCAATACCCGGGCCAGTACACACCAGGCGCAGGATGGTGCGAGATGCCGCGCCCTGACTGACCCCCGCCTGCACTGGCCCTCGTCTCTTGAATCCCGGCAGCGGCGTGCCAAAATTTCCGGTCAGAGGTCCGGGTATCTCCACTTCGCGCGCGCGGGGCGGTCGGGGCCAGGAGCGCTGGAACTCCCAGCTGGCGCGGCCCTCGGCGCTCCCAGAGCGCCCCGGGAGCGCGCCCGGGAGGCGCCAAGTGGGGAGCCCGGCCCCACGGCCTCGGGCCGAGGGCGCGCCAAGACGGCCACGCACGACCTCGGAAGAGGCCCAGAGGCGCCCAAGACGGCCCTGGAGAGCTCCACGAGGACCCCAAGGGGGCCCCAGGAAGGGCCCCAAGTTGATTGCTGTTGCTTGGGTTGTCTGGCAGATTTGGGCGTCACCTCCTTTTCGGACGCCTGGCCGCCCGGGACAGCCAAGGAGGCTGCCAGGATCACCCCCCCCCGTCCGCCCAAAACGCCCCCAAGAGAACCCCAGTACGTACCAGGAGAGCCCCCCAGACGGCCCAAGAGGGCTCGAGAGGCCCGCCGAAGGACCCACGAGGGGGGGTGGGCCTCAAAGGATATCTCGAGCCCCCCACATGCTGCCTCCGAGACTGCCCCAAAGCACCCAGGCCCCCAGAAACCCCGCAAGAGGCCCCCAAGGGGCCTCGCAAGAGGCCCCCAAGATGTCCCCGCGAGGCCTCACTAGGCTTCAAAAAATGCACCAGCGAGGAAGCAGGCCATTGCCACAGATAATACTATGAGCCCCGACACGTGTCTCAAGACGGCCTAAGAGGGCCTCAAGGGGGGTCCAAGAGGGGCCTCAGAGAGGGGACACCAACAGCCCTTTCGGGCCCTCTGCCCCCAGACGCGCATAACTACCAACTCAAGGGACACCTGGAAAAACGCCCACAATGGAATAGCCCAGCGGAGTGAGCGACAACATTCGACAACTGAACAACCGCTCAGGGGAGAACATGGGTTGAGACGAACCCAAGACGAGGATACCATCGGGTGGGGATACACCGAGAATCTCTGATACCCCGCGGCTCTGGAGGATGTCTCGGGCGTCGCGGCCTCTTCAGAGAGCGTTCCGACATGCTCTGGAACGGATGTATGAAAAAAGGAGCTCTGAGAAACACAAATAAATACACACAAATGATAGGATTCCCCATTTGTTCCTAATACCTTCGCGGTTTTTGTCTCCCCCCCCACACTTCCCATGTTTTCCCATATTTTCTGTGGGGTCGAACATTAATTATGTCTGTGCGTGTTTCTCCCCTCCTGAATGTATCCTCGTCCTGGCCCCTCCGAAAAGCTACCGCCTCGCAGCGTCCTGCTGCTCGAGTGCTCGACGGTCTGCTCCGCCGCGCACTCGAGCAGACTGGGCCGCGGCCCTCCGCGCGCGGCGGGCGGCCCGACGACGCCAAGTAGTGCCAAGCAATGCCAGCCAACGGCTTGTGTTGCATTGCTCCTCGCTGCTTCGAAGTGCCGCGGAAAACAGAAGGTCCCTCAATTGGGGTCGTGCTGGCTTCAGCTCGTTCGTGACAGTTGGCCCTGATTCGACAGGACACGCGAGAGGACACAAGACACAAGACCCTTCCGAGCGCCACATCGCATCAGGAGTGTAAGAAGGCACGCGTCGCGAGACACAGGACACAAAGATGCCCTTCATTTGGCAGGGTCGACCTACTAATCCGGGCCGACTGTATTGGGACTCAGGGAGAAGGGGGAGCATGTTTCGAGCAGAAGTGGAACGATACTCGCGACAGAACTGAGACCGTGAAGTGGAAGCACACTTTTTGCGCCGGCGGCTGGGCAGAGGGTGGCTGCTCCGGCGGATTGGCAGCAGGGGACACGCTGTATGCAAATCGAGGCCGCAATGCACGGAGGAGGAGAGAAGCAGACCCCGCGCGACAGGTGGAGGGGAAGCCGGGCCACTCCGAGCTGCCGACTGCGGTGGGGGGAGCGCCGAGGTGGAAGACCAGCGCCGGCACTGAGCTGCACTGAGCGGAAGGGGAGAAGCACACAGATGCCGGAATCGAGCCAGATGCTGCGAGACAGGTGCTCAGGCAAGGACGCCCGCGGGCGTGCCGAGGCGATGCCCACGGACGCCATCGGGCAGCGGGGCCGAAAGGGGTGCGGCGGGGTGGAGGCTAGAAGGTCAGAGAGAGCGCGTGGCCTTCCTTGTGGGTCGGGCATGTCTCCCTGCAGGGTAATCTTGAAAACCAAAAATACTAAACAGATATTCCAAAATGGTACAACATATGGAACAGAATCCCCAAACTTTTTTGTTTGTGATTATTTTTGAATATTCCTCCTGTAGAGGGACACGCCCGACTTAACACGAATGCCATCAGGCAGCGGGGCCGCAGGGGGTGCGGAGGGGTGGCGGATATAAGGTCAGAGAGAGCGCGGGGCCTTCGTCAGTGGAAGACAACGATGGGGGGGGAGCTCAGGGAGGACACATCGAGCTCGAATCGCCAACACATCGCCGGCAGGTCCGCGATAGGCCCCCCGATCATGACCCCGCATGTTCCCGGGCGGGGTGGGCCATCAGGCCGCCATATCGGTGACGAGTGTGAGAGGCCTGTGTTCCACCTCCACCACCACCACTATGAGTTGGAGGGGGAGGAGGTCCTCCTCCTCCTCCACCTCCTCATCCTCCACCTCCTTCTCCTCCTCCTCAGTCCTCCACCTCCTTCCCCCTCCACTCATGGTGGTGGTGGTGGTGGTGCGACGCACCCGCCCCGAGCCTCCTTGTTCCCCCCCTGGCGTTGCCCCCGAGCCTTCGGTCGGGTCCGTCCCTCTACAGGAGGAATACTCAAAATTGTAAAAAATAGTCAGAGGACTATTTTGTTTAGTATTTTTTATGTCATTTTGGGGTATTTGTTTAGTATTTGTTATTTGTCATAGAAAATCCCCCTGGTGGGACGCGCCCGACTCAACCCGAGCCCGAGGCCGGCGAGCAGCCCCCGCTGCCGGCAGCCCGCGCCCGCCCCGCGGGGAGCGCACTGGCCGACCGTCTTCATGGCGTGGAACGCGACCTCGGCGCAAGCTGCAGGCGCCGCCGTGGCATCGACCGTCTTCACGCGACTGTCGCCCCCCCACCCCCCCTGCGCGGCCTGCGCGTCGCCCCTCGCCGCCGATCGGCCCACGTCCCACCAGCCCTCGGCAACGCAGGTGGCTTCGACCGCCTTCCCCTTCCAGTCCCCACTCCTCCCGCAGGGGCGGGGCTCATCACTGCTCCGTACCCGCCCCCATGCCAGGCATGCGACGTCCTGATTTTTTCAAGACGGCGCCCCTGGAAAACCTCGCCCTTTCCCTGGGACCGGTTTTTCGTCCTGACTCGTTTTTGGACGGTCCGGAAGCCCGGCGAGGGCCCCCTGGGGCCGAAAATAGCCAGAAACCTCTCGTCCTGATTTTTACGACGCGATCATGTCTGGGGTGCCCTGAGGCACGAGCCGGCGTATCCTCAAGTCCTCGGCCGGATCCCTTACGGGCACGACGCTGCCAGAGAAGCTAGCAAAACGCTGGATCAGGAACGAAGGGCATCGCTGGCCACGACGAGCCTCGACCGCCACTGGGCCCCCCCGACCTACATAGAAGCACCGCCCTGATTTTTGTTTACGACGCGATCATGCCTGGAGGATGGACAGAACCCCCTTTAGTAAAACGTGGTTTAGTGAAAACGACCTCGGGCCCTAACCTGGCGGGCGCCAGCCTGGAAAATTACGGCCGCGGCACCCTCTCAAGAACCGAAAACGGACAATTCACTAATCGACGTGTCAGGGTGGGGGTTCTGCCCACCTCCGAACGACGAGGAGGAGGAGGAGGAGGAGGAGGAGGAGGAGGAGGAGGAGGAGGAGGGAGGAGGAGGCGAGGAGGGAGAGAGGGGCAGGGAGGAAGAGGAAGGAGGGGCGAGCAAGGGGGAGGTGGGAGGAGGGGGAGGAGGAGATGAGGAGGAGGGAGGAGGAGGAGGAGGATGAGAGGAGGAGGGAGGAGGAGCGAGGAGGAGGGCGCGGAGGAGGAGGTGGAGGAGAGGAGGGGGGAGGAGGAGGAGGAGGAGCGAGGAGGAGCGAGGAGGGAGGACGAGGGGTGGAGCTGCGGGTGGCGACCCCCGAATGTCTGGGGCAGCTGCGGGAGGCGACCCCCCGTCGAGAGGACGGGGCCCCCGCGGCAGCCCGGCCCGCGCGCCAGCCCGCGGCCGGGCTCTGCCTGGCCGGGCCTCGGCGAGGGCAACGGGGGGCTCGCGGCCGTCCCACGGCTGGCCCGCGCGGCCCGCTGAGGGCCCGGGCGCGCGGCGCGTGCCCTTCCCTCCCTCTCCTCCTCCTCCTGCTCCTGCTCCTGCTCCTCCTCCTCCTCCTCCTCCTCTCTCTCTCCTCCTTGTCCTCCTCCATCCTCTCCTCCTCCTCACGTCTCCTCCCCCTCCTCCTCCCTCCTCCCTCTCTCCCGCCCTTCTCCTTCTCCTCCTCGTCTCCTCCCACATCCTTCTCCTCCTCCTACTCTCATCTCTCCTTTTACCCCGTCCTCCTCCTCCTCCTTCTCTCCTCATCCTCCTCCTCCTCCTCCTCCTCCATCCTCCTCCTTCCTCCTTTCTCCCTCCTCCTCCTCCTCCTCCTACTCGAGCAATGAAAAATCATAACGGGAGGCTTCTCGCCATGTTCGGCCTCTGCATGGGGACCCTTACTGGGGCCTCGGGACCGCCAAGAAACGACTTTGGATGACAAACAATCCCGGTGTATAGGTCGAAACCTCTGGGGGTCGACGTGATGAAACAAATCATGACGTCGGTCGAAGAAGATACAACGGCAAAAGCATAAACTTTTGGCGCTTCGCGCGGATTTCTTGGATCCGCGCTGGGCCCCCCCCAGCGGCGCCTCTGGCGCCGCCCCTTGCGCGCTCCGCGCGCCAGGGAGGGGGTTCTGGCGCAGATCCAAGAAATCCACGCGGACCTCCAACAGTTTATGTTTATGTGGTTTATTGTTCCTCGAATCGGAGGTATGAGTTCCGCGTGCCTCTCTGGTCAACTGTCTCGTCGCCGTCGTTGTCCTTTCTCTGCCACGGGGTCTCCTCGTGCGACTGTGACGCAAGGGCGACGAGGGCAGCCCCCGAAGGCCAACTACCGCTGTCTCAACTCGCCCTCCTCGGACAGTCGCGCTGGACTCTGGGCTGAGCCTTGGCTCGTATCGGACTGCCTGCCCGCCTCCTCCGGCCCAGATGGTGGGCCCCCAGCGACACATCCGACCCGAGGAGCCAGCCACTCCAGATCCCAGGAATCGCCCGTCCCTGCCAATCGCGAACGCCTCGGCACGACGCTCAGGTAACTGACCGCCCAAACTCCAAAACCTGGCCGGGCAGATCTCGCGGGCCGGATACGTGGCGGCGCGCAGAGGGGGGCAGGGGGAGGGGGAAGGCCTCTTGAAGGAGGCTGAATCTTAGACCCGCATCTACAGCCTAAGCCCGCGCCTTCTAAGAAGCAGCCTCCTCTTCAGCTCACGTGGCTGATTTTCCCGGCGCCACCCGGCGCCAGAGACGCCCATGTATCGAGGAATGGGCCCGGCGGCGGGGCCGAAACCAGCTGCATGCAGCAGATTTCGTACCCCCCCCGTTCCCTATCCTCCCCTTTCGTTCGGCCCGATTCTAAGAAGCAGCCTTCTCTTAAGAAGCGCTCCCACCTCCCCCTACCTCCCCTCTGCGCGTGGCCGAGGTACCTTGTAGGTGCCCGACGACGGCCGTCCCGCCGCCTCGCCCCGCGGGCATGTCTCCACACATGCTCGCCCCGCTCCTCCTCCGCCTCCTCCTCCTCCTCCTCCTCCTCCTCCTCCTCCTCCTCCTCCTCCTCCCCCTCCTCCTCCTACTCCTCCTCCTCAACCTCCTCAACCTCCTCCTCCTCCTCCTCCTCCTTCCTCCTCCTCCTCCTCCTCGTCCTCCCCCTCCCTCCTCCCCCTCCTCCCCTCCTACCCCTCCTCCTCCTCCTCCTCCTCCTCCTCCTTCTCTCCTCCTCCTCCTCCTCCTCCTCCTCCTCCTCCTCCTCCTCCCCATCCTCCCTCCTCCCTCCTCACCCCCTCCTCCCTCCCTCCCTCCTCTCCTCTCCTCCTCTCCTCCTCCTTCCTCTCCTTCTCCTCCTCCTCCTCCTCCTCCCTCCTCCTCCCCTCTTCCCCCTCCTCCCTCCTCCCCTCCTCCCCTCCTCCTCCCCCTCCCCCTCTCTCCTCCTCCTCTCTCCTCCTCCTCCTCCTCCTCCTCCTCCTCTCCTCTCCTCCTCATACTCCTCCTCCTCCTCCTCCTTCCTCCTCTTCCTCCCTCATCCTCCTCCCCCTCCCCCTCCCCTCCTCCTCCCTCCCTCCTCCCTCCTCCTCCACCTCTTCCCCTCCTACCCCCTCCTCCCTCTCCCCTCCTCCTCCCCCTCCCCCTCATCCTCCTCCTCCTCCTTCCTCCTCCTCCTCCTCCTCCTCCTCCTCACTCCTCCTCCTCCTCCTCCTCCTCTCCGCCTCCCCTCCTTTTCCTCCTCCTTTTCCTCTCCTCCCTCCTCCTCCTCACCTCCTCCTCGTCTCGTCCTCGTACCTCGTCTGTACTCGTCTCGTCTCGTCCTCGTCTCGTCTCGTCCTACCTCCTCCTTCCATCCCCCTCCCCCTCCTCCCCTCACTCCCCCTCCTCCACAATTACTCATTATGAATTACTACTTCCTTCCTTCCCTGATTGACGTCTTGGGAATATTCGCCCCCCCCCCCCCGCGTACTGCTTTTTACACACATGTTTCCCCAGAATTGGGTTTTCGATTGCATTTTTTCCAAAATGCTGCTCTCGCTGAGGCGCCGCCCTCATTTTCGGCCCCGCTCGTTCCGAATCGTGCTCCCGCTGCAGCGCTGGCATCATTTCCGCCGGCGCCCGGGCTGCACGCCCGAGCCGGCGCCCGGGACGGCGCTCGGGCCTAGTCCGGAGCTGGTTCCGGGCGGCGCCGGAAAATCGAGTTCCGAGGCGGCGCCGAAAAAAGGCTATTCCAATACGCATTTTTTTTTGAAAATGCGGAATTTTTGTTTCCACCGCCCGGGAGGCCTCCCGGGCCGATTCCAACGCCCGGGCTGGCGCCCGAGCCGGCGCCTGGGCCCGACGCCCGAGCCGGCGCCCGGGCCGGCGCCCGGGCCGGGTCCGGAGCCGGTTCCGGCCGGCGCCGGAAAATCGAGTTCCGAGGCGGCGCCGGAAAAAGGCCATTCCAAAATACATTTTTCTTTTGAAAATGTTGAATTTCTGCTTCTGGCGCCCGGGAAGCCTCCCGGGCCGATTCCGGCGTGCTTCCGCTCGTTCCGAATCGTGTTCCCGCTGCAGCGCTGGCCTCATTTCCGCGTTTCCGCTCGTTTCGACTCGCGCTCCCGCTGCAGCGCTGGCGCCATTTCCCGCGCCATGCCACGGCATAGAATGAAATGCTAGGTTGATACTACGCTGTGCGGTGCGCTTCTACGCCATGCCACGCCGTGCTCTACAATGCATCGTGTACCCTGTCGGGATCATTGCCCTGCTCGACACCCGACTGCGCCAGTACAGAGGGGATCTGCGCCATGGGAAGGGATGCGAAGGAGGGGTAGGATGTCAGATATGACGCGAGCGCACCTAGATTGTCCTCATCCCCGTCCCCCTCCTCCCCCACCTCCTCCCCCTCCTCCCCCATTTCCTCCCCCTCCTCCCCCATCTCCTCCTCCTCCTCCTCCTCCTCCTCCTCCTCCTCCTCCTCCTCCCCCTCCTCCCCCTCCCTCTTCCCCTTCTCCACAATTATTCAATATGAATACTACTCTCCCCCTTCCCCTGATGACATCTTTTGCGTACTCCCCCCCCCCGCGTACTGTTTTTTTACACACACGATTCCCCGGAGTTGGGTTTTCGCCTGCGTTTTTTTTCAAAAGGCTGCTCTCGCTGAGGCGCCGGCCTATTTCTGCTCCCGATTCGTTCCGAATCGTGCTCCCGCTGCAGCGTGGGCCTCATTTTCGGATCGGTGTTTTGCCTCCGTCGTTCAGGATGGCGTCCTCGCCCCAGCGCGGGCCTCTTTCTCGCG